GACTTGGAGGGCGGGCTGCCCACCTACAGCCACACAGCTGCACTCCAGGGCCCTAGCCTCACTCTGCTCAACACTGCCTCTTAGACCACGAAGCAGGAACACACACTGTGACCCGACTCTGCTTGCTGACATCTTTCTACAAGTGGAGGGCCTAGCCCCTGCCCCACTGAGGGGAGCCACCTCCCTTTTCTCTCTGGCCCAAAGTTCAGAGACTCGGGCTACAGCCTGGGCAGGGCTCTGAGATCTCCATCCTCTGAGGGAAGACACCCCGCTTCCCCGCACAGCTCTGCACTGTTTTGGCAGGAGCAGGACAGGGATGTGGAGGGGATTGTGGAGGACGGGGGGGTGGCAGCTGATTTGCACTGAGCCTAGGACCCTACTTGAGATGAATGTGTAACTCTTCCCTGAAGGGTAAGAAACGCCTCATTCTTGAGTTTCTCTGAATGGAGTAAAGGCCAGCGCGGCTCCCTCTGCACTGTCTTGGCGGGAAACGAGATCCCAGTATTGTTCTTGGTTCCTGCCTCCTGTAGGGTAGTCCCAGAGTTCCAGAGAAGTCTTGGGGCTGGTCTGATGATGTTGCCCCTCCCTGTCCAGGCCATGGGGTCAGGGCTCCCAGGGACAGAGGCCCTAGCAGACAACGGGAACACTGCTGGATGCAGAGCTGTCTCCTAGGTCCTTCGGTGGCCTCCCGTTCCCAGGCCTTCTCTACCCCCTGTAGGGAAGGGGAGCCCAGCCCCAAGACTTGAGGCTCCACAGCAGCCTCACACAGCTGGGTGGGGTGCAGGGGGAGGGAAGCAGGCTCCTAGGTTCTCACGCTGGCCCTGGCACCAGCTGTTTCTCAGCAAGGCTATTCCAGCACCCTAAAACACAGTCCCAGGCAGGTAGCCGTGTCAGCGGCCTTGCTGTGACAGCTCGGCCTCCCTAGGCAGGTTGTCTGTTAGGGCACGGGGTTCCTCTCACCCTCAGGACAGGCAAATTAGGGTCTGTGGTACCCAAGTTCACCCCTCACTGTCCTCAAGCGCTTTCTAAGCCCCGAGTCTCCCTTGTAGTCTGGGAGCTGCTGCCTGCCCCTCCTCTTGTGGTCTGGGGCCAGCCTGTCTTCCTCCAAGTGTCTGTGAGATGGAGAGACCACAGAGGGCTTTGGAAGCCACGGTCCCCAGTTCCCTCCTCTTGCCTGCAGTGTTTCATTGAGTGGGAAGCATCTGCTGCCCCCAGGTTCGGCCTGGCGCCCTGGCCAGGGGAACCCCATCCTCACAGGCGACGCAGCCTTGCTACCGAACATGCAGGGTGACCACGGCCGCTGTTGTCTTGTCCCCCAACAGGGCTGGAGTACCAGAGGCCGAAGCATCAGACCTCCTGTGACGACATTGAGGTGCTGTCGACCGGGACGCCCCTGCAGCAGGAGAGCCCCGAGCTGTACCGCAAAGGCACCACCCCCTCCGACCTGACCCCCGACGACAGCCCCCTGCAGAGCTTCCCCGCCAGCCCCGCAGCCACCCCACCGCCCGCGCCTGCCACCAGGAACAAGGTCGCCCACTTCTCGCGGCAGGTGTCAGTGGACGAGGAGCGGGGTGGGGACATCCAGATGCTTCTGGAGGGTCGGGCCGGGGACTGCGCCCGCAGTAGCTGGGGCGAGGAGCAGGTCGGGGGCTCCAGGGGTGTCCGCAGCAGCGCCCTGCGTGTGGACGACCTCCGTGCCCGAGGCTTGGGCCGCAAGCAGCCTGGGAACCCCAAGCCGCGGGAGCGGCGGACGGAGTCGCCCCCGGTATTTGCGTGGACTTCCCACCACCGGGCCAGCAACCACAGCCCCGGGGGCGCCAGGCTGCTGGAGCTGCAGGAGGAGAAGCTGAGCAACTACAGGATGGAGATGAAGCCCCTGCTGAGGATGGAGGCGCAGGAGGCACACCCCCAGAAAAGACGCTACAGCAAGGGCGGGGCCTGCCGGGGCTCAGGGGATGACCACCGCCCTGACGACCGGGGCTTTGGGGTGCAGAGACTGCGGTCCAAGGCCCAGAACAAGGAGAACTTCAGGCCGGCCTCCTCCGCGGAGCCTGCGGTGCAGAAACTGGCGAGCCTGCGGCTGGGCGGTGGGGCCGAGCCCCGGCTGCTGCGCTGGGACCTGACCTTCTCCCCGCCCCAGAAGTCCTTGCCTGTCGCGCTCGAGTCTGACGAGGAGAACGGGGATGAGCTCAAGTCCACTACGGTGAGTGGGTGGCCACCGGGCTGACCCAGGGGAGCAACAACCACTCCACTGGTCTGGGGTTTCCTGAGGTTTCCAGCCAGGGCACTGCTCCTTCGTTCCTCTGCAGGTGTAGAGCAGGGTGGGGGTACAGATGGGAGGGTGATGCCCTCCCCTAGGCAAGCCCTGGAGGGGCATGTGTCACACCTCTTTCCTTGAGGGGACTGCCCCGGGCTGTTCTCTAGAAAGCACACCAACCTCCTGACTTCCAGACAGCGTGGGACCCGTGTGCTCCCCGCCACTTCCTCAGCCCCAGCTGCTCAGCAGAGTCTGGCCTCTGGTCAGTAGCCTTGGGCCTTGGATGTTGGGCTCACTGCTTGTGTGTTCTGTGTCCTGGACAGGAACGCAGAGATCTAGAAACAGCTGGGGATGGGGCTGGCCCCAGGGCTGCGGGTCAGGTCAGATGCCCAGGGGTGGGGGGACTGCCAGTCATGTTTTGTCTCACCTGTGGCATTGGGCTTGGAGCCAGCTTCTAGGTGAGGTGCCCTGTGTGTTTGACTCCTCCTGAGCCTCCCCCAGCACCCCCCACCCCCTAATTCACTCCTCCAGGTGGCTTGGAGGGAAGAACAGCAGCCCCTTGGGCTACAGTCAGTGTGTTGGGCTGGGGTCCTGGTGCCTCGCACAGGGCTGACCTCCCCTTGAAGGGACCCTGACCTTGCGAATCCCATTCTGCAGCTATATATGGTGGCTATGTAGGGTCAGCACATGGCCAGGCCCTCACCCACTAGGGCTCCGCCTGCCCGTGGCAGTCCCGGCAGTGCTTGGTGCCTTGGGTCTGGGTGCTCAATGTGCAAGCACCTGTCTGGCCCTTGGGTGTTAGGATGGCGGGGGCTGTCTGCATGGGGTGCTCAGGGGGGCCAGTGGTAGGTTTATTGTTGACCTATTGAGAGGCCCATTTCTGCCTCTCCAGGGAACCACTGCGCATGTCTGTCTTGCTGTCTGGTTCCTAAGATGCCTCCCCTCCCCCAGATGCCCACAGAGAACAGCCCCCTGTGCTCCTGCTGGGACCAAAATACCAGCTCACACTTGCAACTTGATTTTTCCCATCGCAGCCAGAGACTTGTGCACATGGTTATTTTAGGAAGAGCCAAGTGATGGGCAGGGTGGGAGGTGTAGGGACAGGTTCTATTTTTAGCCTGCTTAATGCACTGGCACTTGTGGGTGCTTTTAAATGAACCTCCCTGGGGTCAATGCGTGAGCTGGGGACAAGTGCCAAGCTGGCCTCTGGGGTGTGAGTTAGCTACGGGACAGCCAGGGTGCTGCATGCTGGGTGTCCTGCCCATTCTCCAGCTGCGGCTCACTTGGGGGTCCCGTCAGCCACAGCATCGTGTTCCAGCTGAGCTCCTTGGAGGTGGTTGCCCTGGGGCACCTGGTGCTGGTGCAAAAAGGTTTCCCTCCCCCCCCACCCACACCTTGGGGGCTGTCTTCTGCCAGGTCTAAGGGAGATGGGGTGGAGAGGCACAGTCACTGCTAAGCACTCTCTCAGACCCTGTCTGTCGGGAGGAGGAGGGGCCGGTGCCAGGCTGGGCTCTAGTACCTTCAGTGTCACCCCTCGAGGGGCACAGCTCTCTACCCTGTCTCCCCTGGGCCACCATCAAGGTCTGGGGAGCTGTCTTCTGGCTATCCCCTTCCACCCTTCCCAGGCAACCAGCAGCAACGTGCTGCAGAGCTCACAAGGGTCTGGCCCTCATCCACTCGCCCCCCGCCCCCCGGAAACAGAGGGGTCATGGGTCCCACTGGCCACAGATGGGCCCGGGATTCTGGCCCGTACAGGGTCCTGGCAATTCAGAGTAATGTCCCTTGGGAGGGAAGCAGAGGTTCTCCCTACAGCTCTGCCAGTGAATGAACTCTATGGCCCCAGCTCAGTTTCCCTCTCAGTGAAATGATGGATGTGACCCGATTCTGGGGTCCAGGATCAGGGGATGGCTGGGGAGACATGGCCTCCCTCCTGCAAGCAGTCATGCCCTCACCCACAGCGTGTGCACCTGCTTCCTGAACCAGACCATGGACTGGACTGGGCTGGCAGAATAGGTACCCCTGACCACTCCACTCCATCCCGCTCCCCAACTGCAGGCCAACTGGCACCCCGGCCCTTCCTCCGAGCTGCAGTGGGGGGCTTTGCTCCAGGGGTAGCATCGGTGGGCAGGGCTGGGCCCTTGCCTGCCCCATGTGGGCTGACCTGACCCAACCAATTTGTCACAAGGCCCAAGACTCACAGTGCACCTACTGGAGGTCATCATGCCAAGGACAGCTGGGCTCGGACCACTGTCCTGGTGCAGAGGGGTTGGGCAGGTCGCTTTCTCTGGCTCAGTGGAGGCCCTCGCTGCTACCCCACCTCCACTTCCATCTGCACCTGAAGTCCCTGCTGGGCTGGGAAGTTGTGGAGGGGGTGAGCCTGGTACTGCTGTGGCTGCTGTTCCCCCTGGGCAGGACCTCGCCCTGAGGACCCTCCTCTCTGAGCGGCATCCCCAGGGTGACAGTTTATAAAGCCCTGTGCTGGCTGTAGCTCAGCTTGTTGGTTGTGAAAACTTTTTTTTAAAGTTTCTTGGCTGGGCACAGCGTCTTAAGCATGTAATCCCAACACTTTGGGAGGCCAAGACAGGCGGACCATCTAAGGTTGTAAGTTCGAGACCAGCCTGGCCAACATGGTAAAACCCCATCTCTACTAAAAATACAAAAATTAGCTGGGTGTGGTGGCACGCACCTGTAATCCAAGCTACTCAGGAGGCTGAGGCATGAGAATCTCTTGAACCCAGGAGGCGGAGGTTGCAGCGAGCCGAGATGGTGCCATTGCACTCCAGCCTGGGCAACAGAAGACTGTCTCAAAAAAGTTTCTAAAGCCGGTGTCCCCAGGACATGCAGGGTCCAGACCCCAGTGTGAGGAGGCATGTGGGCCTGGGTGATGATGGCCACGATGTAGAATAGAGGGGCGGGCCGGCAGCTGGGGGAGTCCCTCCCAGGTGCAGTGTGGAGCCCAGCAGGGAGGGTGGGTGAGGCCTGAGGGTGACGTCCAGACGTGTTGCCTTCACCGTAATGGGGATGAGATGCTCACTGGCAGCTTGTCCTCAAGTCCAAATGCAAAACCGCCAGGCGGGGCCGGGCTGAGACAAACACTCACACCCATCATCACCACCACTCTGCTGAGTGGTGTGTGCTGGCACAGACCTCCTGAGGAAACCATGCCAATGCATGGGGTGGCCAAAGCCTGGCCAGGCCACAGACAGGGCCACGATGAGCAGTACAGCCCAGGGCATGTGGTGGGCAGCTCCTGGAGACACGGGGAGGAGAGGTGGGAACCCAGGAGTGGGGTGGGCACCCAGGTATGGGCAGGACTGGACCAGGAAGAGGGGCAGCAGCTTACTCAAGGCAGGGTGTCCGCCCTGGGGCTGGGAAGGGGCAAGGGTGTGGCTGTTTCAGGCCACCTACTCGGGGAGACCAGCCTGGGTGCTGCGATGTTGCGTCATCAGGGGCACAGCCGATGCACAGGATGAAGCTGACCCAGGAGGCAAAAGCGTCCCTTGGCCAAATGGTAGAGCAGGAGGCTGCTGCTTGCCCACGGGATGTGGCATCCAAGCTAGGTGTGGGAACCACAGGCTGACTTCCCAGGAGGGATTTCTCCCACTGGGGCCCTGCTAAGTAGCCCCTGGTCCCCATACCTCCCCTGAAGCCAGTGTCAGGCACTGCTCTGAAGGTCTGGCCATGGAGAGCTGACTTCACTGTGGGTATCTGCTGTTCTTGGGTAGCTTTACTGAGAGAGAATTCATGGACTCTTCAGCTCACCTGTCCAGAGTATGTACAAGTCAGTGGTTTTAGTGTATTCTGCTAACTACCTAGATCAGTTACATCCCCTGAAACCTCAGAGCGCAGTCATCCTGTCCCCTCCTCTGCTCCTGGCAGCCCCTGCTCTGCTTTCGGCCTGGGGGGTCCTGGTGCCTGGCTTCTCGCAGCACGCGTCACTCCTGCCCCCTTCCTCTGGCTGAGTGGCGTCTGCTGTTGCCTGGACCGTGCTGCGCTACCTGTGCGTTCATCCACCGACAGACAGCTGGCTTTGCTTCTACTCTGGGGCTGTTTTGGACCCCACTGCTGGGGGCATGTCGAAGCTTTTGAGTCTTGAGTTTGCCCGCTTAGATTTATGCCTGGGAGTGAACTGCTGGGTCACAGGTAGTCTGATTAACACTATTCCACTCTTAGAAGCCATTGGCTGTGGGCTGCCAGGACAGCAGGTGCTTCCTGCTGTGGTGGGGGGGACATGTTTCAGGCTCCCCTCATTGGCTCCTTGCTGCAGGCTGGAACAGGCCGTGCCTGAGGCCACAGGCTCTATTCAGTCTGCAACAGACAACCCCGTCAGGTCTTTGAAATTTGACCACAAAAGGGCCCCAGACTTGGGGGCTTAAAGGAGTCCAACAAAAAGCACTCTGGTAACGGGGAGAGGGTGAGAGCAGCCAGCGCTGTGGAATGTGCGTCCTGCGACCTTCAGAAGACCTGGTCTGTCTGTAGTGCACCACAGCTGGACCTCTCTGTACTAGGAAGTGGGGGGCTCAGTGTGCTGGGTAGAAGTGGGCTCTGAGCAGCCTCCTGCCTCGGGCAGGTGCCCACACAGCTCCTTCCCCCAGTGGGGTCCACCTCTCCTTCCAGGACGCTGTGAGAGGCAGAGCTTGGTGATGGGGGTCCAGCGCAAGTGTCCTCTGGAAGCAGACCCTGGGCAAGACTGGAGGGGGTGTCCCCCACCATTCCTGGGCTGGGGCCACCTTCTAGGAGGTGCTATTCCCTGTATCTGCAGGGTGGCCCCCATGCCTGCCATTCCAGAGGACAGCAGCTTCCAGCAGCCTTTCCCAACCTCCATCCCCGAGGGGCCCTGCTGTCCCTCACCCCTGCCTCGTGTGAGCAGCACAGTGGGGAGTAGGCTGCAAGAATCACTGCAGAAGGGCACCCTAGGAACAGGCTCCAGTGGGAGATGCGCGTCTTACCTGGCCCTGGCAAGGACGCGGCAGGTGGCAGCTCAGTCTCAATGCCCAGGCTATGCTGCTGAAGGGGGAGCCTGGCACTTGGGGCTCTTGCAGAGGCTGAGGACTCATGAGCAAAAGCACTCGGGGACCGTGGTCCAAGTCAGAGGCAGCTTGCAATTGGACACAGCCGACCAGAGCCAGGTGACAGGAGGGGAGCTGTGTTGAGAAAGGTATACTTACGGGCCTGTGGGAGACCTCTGAATTCCACGGCCACTCTGCTGGGCCACATGTGACACTGGCTATGGCAGCCGCGAGGGCACTTCTGAGATTCTGATCACAATGCCCGAGGTCCCAGTTCCACAGAGCAGGAGAAACCTGCTGCCTGGCACAAATGCAGCCGGCACTGAGACGCTGGCTTACAGGGAGGCCTGGGTAGTTCTCTTTAAGGGGCCTCGCCCAGGAAGAGCTCGTGCTCAGGTCTCAGGGCTGCCAGGGAATTCCAAGACCAGCAACCTCAGGCTTACAGGCAGGAAAGGCTTCTCTCCCCAGTCTGCACTCGAGGGGCTCGGGTTCTGGTGTACCTTTGGGGTCCAACCATTTCTAAAACTCTCACTTAGACCTCCCCCTCCTGAGTCCGCTAGTTTGGTGAAGAGAAGTGGGTGGGAGGTGTGGTGGTCCGGGCAGAGCCCCCGCGGCTGTCGCTCACCTATTCCCCTCGCTCTCTTCCAGGGCTCAGCTCCTATCCTGGTGGTCATGGTGATCTTACTCAACATCGGAGTCGCCATTCTGTTTATTAACTTTTTCATCTGATGAGATTGTCGCGGCAGCAAAAATAGAAAAACGGTAGGAAAAGGGGACATCAAAAGCAAAACCACAAGCAGGGAAAGACCGAAACTCGGACAGCCCAGCGACTTCCAAGTCCTCTCACAGAAGAACCACATGATTGGGTATCACTCACAGTTTGCCTTTTTTTCTGGGTAATGTCTTTTGGATTTTAGCCAAAATTCTTTGCTTGTATAACACTCTGCTGTGTGGCATGGCAGAAGGACGCCAGCACACAGCCCCTCCAGCTCCAGGTGGAAAGAGAAGAGATCCCAGCACATCTGTGGTAACAAAGGATGTCATCCTCGTGGTCACATGTCCCAGCTTGGGTGTGGATGGAGGGCAGCCCCCTGAGCACCTGGCTCCCGTCGACGAGAGTGGATTCACTGCTTCCTCTTTCTAGAACAGATGGGTGACAAGTACGGGTGGGAGGCGTGGGGCAGGTGGCCCACCACTGTAGGCAGTAGCCTGGCCTTCCTCTGAGATCTGTGCTGTACAACGAGGAGGGGGAGGGACCTGCTGCCTCCTCCCCAAGACACGGATGCAGGCCCTTCCCTCTTCTCGGCACTGCCCCCCGGCCTTCCGTGAGAAGCCGACTCCCCACACTGAGTTTTATAAAGCAGAGCCCTTTTCTTCTGCTGCCCATTCGCTGTGGGCCCCATTTGGCTGTTCCCCCACCAGACCCCAGGGAAGCCAGGCCCACTGCGATCCCGGAAGCCAAGGGGCTGTGCCCTGGAGTCGGCCTCGTGCCAGGGCTCTGGGTGTGCGCTTGGCGTGTGGGGTGGACGCATGGGCTTCCGTGTCCCCAGCAGTGAGGGCCCTCCAGGACGCCTTCTCCCCTGGTTACTGACCTCCACGGGTTTTCACATCTTTGTACTGTGCCTGCCTCAACTTCCCCAACAGATATGCATATTCTTTCCAGATGCCTCAGTGCTACACCAGAGCGGGCCTGGTCCCAGGACAGGAATGCGGTTCCACCCAGTGGCTTGAGACTTCCTGAGAAACTGTAGCATATCCAACACCTCCCCAAACATGTACAATGTAACTTGTTTCGGTCCAAAGCAGGTTCCTTATGTTTCTGCCTTCCCCGCCAGGGTCACTCCATCGCCCACACAAAGGAACAAGGTTTGCCAAGATGTCCGAGTGCCCCGTGGCCTTGGCTCTCATGTGCATGGATGTGCCTGAGGGGTCCGGGCACGGCCACACATGGGGCCCTGTGCCTGGGGAGGCGCTGCAGGGGCTCCCTGTCTGGCCGTCCTGGGGCCACAGCCCGCCTTCTGGACTCTGCCTTGCTTTGCTTATGTTGAGCTGTTTCTCTGCTGCCTTTCCAGCAGACTTCTTTACTACACTGCACTGGATTGCTATATTTTTAACCAGAAATAAACTAAAGATTAGAGCATGTTCCAGTTAAATTCAGTTTTACTGTTTTCCGTTACACATTCACTCCCCGGTTCCTTCTGGCAGTCTGGTGTGGGGGGCACAGGAGAGGGAGGGAGAGCTGGAGGTCATACATTTCTGATCGTGTTGCTTTCTAAAGGGATGTGACTTCTTTTTGTACATCTTACTTTTCCGATTTTTTAAATACCAAGTGGTTGCTGCAGACCTAAAGTGAACCAAATAAAGATTCCTGCTCTTTGCAGCTCTAAGAATCACCCCCGCTGGGAGATGTGTTTTGTAATTGTCTGCAACTCTTTGCAAAGATCACAGGCTGCTTTAGTATGTTCCAGTAACTGCATGACACACAAAGGTACCTGTGAGCAGAATACATGTTCACATGAGACGCGCACGGAAGCAGGGGTCTCTGAGTGAAGCCTTGCGGATCCAGGCCTAGGGGCCGTCATCTGCTGCTGTGCATAACCTAGAAAATGAAGCCAAGGCCCGGCCCCTTGCCTTCTAGCAGCAAAGGCAGAGGCAAGAGCCACTCCTCCATGAATTACAGGAAGATTCAACCAGGCTAAAATGCACCTGGTCAGAGAATCCAATCTGTAATTCGTTTCCAAACCGGGTGATTAAGGAGAAGGCTGCTTTCCCACCTGTCTGGAGCCTTGGCCTTCCTTGACGGGCACACAGTCCTTCCACACGGGTGCAGGGCTGTGTGCTTCCCTCCACACAGTTGGGCACCGCAGTGTGTGCCAGGCTGGCTGCTGCTGCATGGAGAGTCTGACAAGTTTTCATTCATCCCAGAGCAGACTGCTCAGAGCCATTTTCCTCCCCTACAGCTTCTTCCAAGCTTTACCTGTACAACCCAGAGGCCAGGAGAAAGTAGCATCCCCTGGAGACATCAGCGTGGTCTGGGTGTGGGGGTGGTGGACTGCCATGGGCCAGGCTGGCGTCTCCCTATCCTTGCCACCCTGCGGACAGGTCCACCTCTAGCCCAGGAGCAGATCAGGACTCCAGCCCTGCCCTGGAAGAGCTGGAGAAGACCCTCTGCCCAGGGCCTCTGGTGACCCTGTGTGTGCCCATGGCTGGCCAGTTCTCCTTACCAGTCTCTGCACCGTGGGTGGATCAGTGCCTTCTGAAGCTCAGGAATCCACAGAATGTGCCTGGCTAATTTTGGGCACCTGAGACATTGCCCATGCTTTCGGATCTAGGACCATCAGGTCACAGGATTCCCGGAGACACAGATGAGGCGTGCAGTGCCTGACCCAAGCTCACTGACAAGGGGGACGGAGGGGACGTGGAAAAGCAGGGCAGGTGCGAAGACAGAACGCGCAGCTCCCCGTCCTCTGCAGTGCAAGCACACCGCGCAGGCAGGGCCTCTCCTGTGGCATCCCAGCGGCGCTGGAAGATACGTACTGTCGAACAGCGGGCCCTCCCCTGCGTGCGCTCAACTCACTCCCTGTGAGGCCGCAAGCCAGGCCATGGGTCAGCAGTCCACAGGGCGTCCACAGTCCAGGAGCAACCACACTTGCTCCTTTTCAAGAACCACACGGCCACCCTGCCTCACTGACAGCCATCAGTCACCCCAGAGTACTGCAGACCTAAAGGGAGAGCCTGAGCAAAAAGCCAAGTGTTTCCGTTGGTCATGTTTTTTCAGTTCAGGATTTTGGTTGTCCTTTACTACTTCCCTGGGAAGTTTTATCGCCAGCTGGACCCATGGGAGTGAAAAGGCCTCGGGGCCTATGGCGGCCCCGGCCCCCAAGCTGCTGGCACTCCTGGGCTGTGTCAGGGAGGCACATCCAAGACCTCTCCCCCAGTGTCTTCATGGGACGGTGCGGATTCCACCCTCACGTGTGCAGTAAGTCGAGCTCATGCTCAGTTTCTTGGATCCTAAGTCTGCTCCGACTGTTGTTGCCTTTGGTCTTGGAGACTTGGCATCAAGGTGCCTATTAGATGCTTGGACATCACCTTCCATAGCTGCAGGTGCCATGACGGCGTCTCCCTTCAGCCGGCTGACAGTGCCTCACACAGCACGCTCGAGGTCATCAGGACACTGCCCTCCCGCGGCGCCTTTAGCCTCGCCCGGGCCAGGGTCTACCCTCTGGCCCAGGCTCAGGCCCAGAGCCCCAATTCCAGGTGAGGCAGAGGGAGGAGGTTAGAGGGCAAAGGGATTCAGCTTGGGCACCTGTTTTAGCTTCTCTGGTGCCCAGGCCATGGGCAAGGCAGTCGGTAAGCAGAAACTCAGGAAGTGATCATTCCCAAGTGCCAAGAAGGTTGCTGGCCCAGCCTTCAAACAGACAAGGAGAAGTGCAGCTACCTTTGTTTAAAAGAAAACAAGCCACGCTGTATTTTAACGATGCGTCCCATGCCTAGAAAATGAACTATGGAACGCACGCCGGGGCGGGGGCGAGTGCTGGAGAGGGACAGAACCAGGGTCCAGGGCAAACCAGGAAGCCCCCGAGGGCCAGCGCTTTCTGACCAGTAGAGGCAAGGGCCGGCACCTGGCGCTGGCCGCAGAGTGACAGTCAACGCCGCTAGAGCAGAGGACCTCAGCCACCCTGCTCAGCAACAGGGTGGCAGGATGCTCAGAAATAGGAAAAGCCACGCTCTGAAGAGAAATGAAATGCTCCTCCCAGACTGCGGCCTACCCATTAGGAACACATGCTTTTTAAGTCTGTTTCTTCACGAACCCAAAGTAGAAGGGCCTGAGCTGTGAATGCGGCCACAACATTCTGTGCCAACTTATTCCCAAGCCTGGGAGATGCAAGCAGCCCCGTGATGGGGACACGTCATGCGGGAGATCACTCCATGTGCGTCTGGGTGCCAGGCCCAGGCGGCCGGGTTTCTGGGGTTGGCAGAGCAAGCCAGGCAACAACCTCACACCCCCTCATTGGCCTCGTCCACTCCTGGCATTTGGGATAAACATCCTCTCTCGGACACGCTCTTCTCGTGCGCCTAGGCCACCTGCTCAGGCCCACACCGCCCGCCTGTCTGCCATCCTTCCTTCCTGCCTTGACTGTGCCTCAGCTGCACCCACCACTACTTGTTAACAGCTGCCATCCACACTGAGGAAGCCTCTTCGAGCCCAGGGAGTGGCTGAGGTGGGGCTCTGCTGTGCACCTGCTCCCTGGGGCCCTCCCAGCAGTGGCTGGTGGGCGTTCTGCTCTGCCCTTCTTGGTCATGTTCCAGGGCCTGCAAGGAAGCTCAGCCCAGTAGCCAAGTGGCTCCTTGCAGACGTTATCACTGGGTCTGGCCCATCGACCCGAGGCTACCGTGAGAACTTCTGACCCCTAAGATCAGAGCAGTCTTCCGGTCCCAGAGCTTCCTGCACGATTGTGTGTGGAACCGACCAGGAGATTCCACCAGAGCTGGGTTAAACCATTACCACCAATGGCCTCCCAGACCAAAGGCTGCCACCCCTGACCTCTACAGCCAACTCCTCCTCCACAGAAGCTCTGCCAGGCACCGAGGAGGGCCAGTCTGCTGGGGGCTCCCGGGCCCTGGGTCAGGCTGAGAGAGGAAGAAGGGTGTGAGGATGCAGGGGCAGGGGGGTGAGCCTTGCAGGGCAGTGTCTGGCCCATCCTGCACCCCCACACTGGGAACCCCCAGCTTTCTCACATGGGCATCTGGGGAGCCAGGGTCCCTAAGTGCAGCCACATCAGAGCAGACTTCCTCATGCAGCACCTTCCCGGGGGCATCCACAGCCTCCTTGGGGGCTGGCCCTCTGCTGATGCCATCCCCTCGTGGACGCAGCGCGGGCCTCTCTAGCTGGACTCTGCTCACCTGAACCATCTGCTGTTTCCACGGAAATCCCATCCCCAGAGCCCAGCAGACATCAAAGCCGCAGGGGCTTCTGGGCTAGGGGAACCACCGGGAGGGCGCACCCTCGCTCACCCTCACTCCAGCTGCGGAAGCCTCACCCTGCTGCCAACACCTCTGCAGGAACTGGGACCTACAACGGGGTTAACCCACATTTTCTTCCAAGTCTGTCCCGGCGCATGTCAGCTGTCTGCTACCACCGTGCACAGTCATTCTGTGCAGTGACAAAACTTTTCTTACTAAGTGGTTTAAAAAGTTACCTCAGCCTTTTTTCTTTGCTTTTAGCTGGAAAGAGCTTGGATACTTACAAAATGGAAATCAAATAATTTTCCTAAATGAATGTAACAGTTTAAATCATACTGTTAGGAAAGCAATAAACGCTGTCAACAGTGAAGAAAAATTTTGTTCCTTGTAGTAATAAACAACGTCTGACACTTTGGAATGCCTGTCGCGTCTCATGACAAACCCGCGTCTTTACCGGCAGTTCTTCCACTGCAGAGCTGCGTGGCGGCCGTGAAGACAGAGCTGGGCAGCGCGTGGAGGCTTCTCCTGGCTTCTGAGTAGGAAACGCGTGGTGAGCACGAATCTCGAGAGTCCTGCGGTGTCCGGGTCTGCACACACGGGGTCTTGTGCGGCTGGCTCACCCACGGTGGCCAGAGCATGCCTCCCCCAGCCCCAGATCCTCACTCGGGAGCTACGGTGTCTGCAGGCAGCGTGGGACCAGGGCTTGTCACAGCCTGTCAGTGAATGGAGGACACAAAAATAACCGGAGAGGCAGGCTCTGCCCTCGGGGAGCGCACAGGCGACTTTTTAAAATGCAAGCGTTCATGTAATTAAACGTCTCCATTTCCGTCTCTCAGGAAGCGGTTATTCGATCTCCTCCTCCCCAGCCAGAGCTCTGTAAACCTGCGCCTCTCACGCCTCAGTGATGCCTCTGAGTCCTGCCTCTATGGGTGGCTCCCCTGGGTAGCCTACAACCAGTCAGGGCTTGGAAGGGCTCTGGGGGTTCAGACAAGGAAAACGAGGGGCGTGAGCTGGGCTTGGGGAAGCTGGGTCACTGTGGTACCTGCATGACCCTTGGCCGTGACCGTACATCGGCTTCCAGCAGGGACTGCTTGTGTGCCTCGGGACACCACTGTCAGCAGGGTCCCAGTGACCCAGTGTGGCCAGGCCCCAGATGGCACTGCTGCAGCTCTTGTCAAAGAGAAATGAAGGTGACGGCAACACGTGCCAGGAGCCACGTGGGTTACGAAAATGAGACTGGCCTCCAGGGCCCACGGCCTCCAAACAACACTCTTTAACTGCCCAGGAGAGCAGCGGTTATTAACAAGTTCCTTCTACGCACAGAGGAAGGCAGGCTGAGGCTGTGTTCACCACAGCTAGAGCTCGGCCCCTTCTCCATCCCCCAGACCTTCCAGGGGAAGGCAGAGCATTCCCTGATGAAAGCACATGGCACCACCTTCTCACTGCAACACCCGAGGGCCACATCCAGTGCAGTGTCTCACTTGGTTACCTGAATGTCACGTGGAAGATGGCTCCTGAGGGCACCCTCCAGCTCCCATGCAAAGTCCTGGAAGGGGTCTCTCTCACCAAAGGCATCTTGGCATTTGGTCCCTCAGTGACTTTGTAACTGTCACCTAGCCAATGACATCCTGCTGACACCAACTCAATTTAAAAAAATCAGATGTCAAACTACAATCAACACTGCTCTCATCTAAAAACAAACACAAAGTAACTGCCTGACAAGGATTTCTAAGTTCAACGGGTAGTTCCCTTGATGATCATTCCATCCAACACCCTCCCCCCACTTCCCCTACCAACCACCAAGAAAGCCACCACTTGTGGCCAATTCCTCCAGTTCATCCTCACACAGAGCATGGCTTAAGTGGGAAGCAGGGAGAATGGAGAACAAGACAGTTCATACCTAACATCCCACAAAGCTCTGCGAGGAGCCGTGGCCCTGCTGCCAAGTGAACTGGCCAGACTCCTCACCTTGCACGTCTGCCCACCCTCCAGGGAGGGGTCAAGGGGCTGTGTGGGAGGGCTGGAGCTGAGCAAAAGGCTTCCTAACAGCCAGCAGCTCACCACACCAAGGAACCAGGCGAGAAGGCAGCACCGAGGATGGCGTGTCCCCGCGGCGCTGCGCCAGCAGCTCCTGGGACACAGAGGCCCTGGGCTTTTGTGCCGGCCGCTCACGCCCTATGGCGGCTATCTGGACACCGAGTGGTTCGGTTCCGTAAAACTGGGCTCCAGCAGACAGGGCAGAACACAGGCCCTCGGGGCAGGCACAGCTCTGCAGAGGAGTCCACCATTCTGCGTGTTGTTCCATGTCCCCCACAGTTCCACATTTAAGGTGCGCTGTCAGTGTTTGAATGACGGCCACGGCAGCCACTCCGTGCTGCGTGCTTGTCTGTCTCACCCCCATTGGTTCTGATCAGCATCTTTCATTCAAACTAGATCTTCAGCAACAAAAACAAAATACTTTCTGTACTAGACAGTGTACAACAAGTTTCTTCCTCTTGGCTTGTCATTTTTCTTTCAACCTGGTTGATTCAAAAGCATGTTTCCTTGGAATCCCACCTAATTAGTGACAGGCTCCTCTGGAAGAAAAACAGTCTCTACTAACAGACGTCTCTACTAACAGACAACTGCATGGAAGCCACCAAGATCTTTCCACTCCTTCCTCCAAAAGCAGGAGGGAAGAAAGAACCAGCCACACAACGGGGTCCATCTTCTGGATGAGGAGCCGAGGAGCCTGGGCGGGCCTAGGCAGAGGTGTGGGGGCGCAGACCCAGCCGCCTGCGCTCCGGCTTCTCAGCCCTGCCCAAGCACCCCCCAAGCCGCTCAGTGCAGAGTGTGAAGCACCCTGATGCCCAGCACTCAAGACATAGTGCCCAACTGGCTGCCAAAGCCTCACAACACAAACCCAAGCTGCAGCCCTCAGGGCAGATGGGGAGGGCCAGCGCCTGCAGCCTCACCCTGGCCGCACTGCCACCCACGTCTGGACGCAGCGGACAGGTGTCCCAACCAGGCAGCAGGCAGTGCCCAGAGCCTTCCCCTTTCTCATCAGCTTTCCCATCAAGTGAGAATGGAAGTCTCAAGTGAGGTCACACCCATGGCAGTGGGCAGGGCCCTCAGGGCCAGTTCGAGTGCCACCTACCCATGCTTCCGGAATACCTGGCTGACCAGGGAGCTCAGTATGTGCCCCTGCTGGGGAAGAGCGGGCCAAGTGCCTGAGATGATCCTCAGAAGCGATAATTCTGAAGCCGCTGCCCCAAGGTGACCTGGGTGTTGCTGGTCCCACCTGGAGCGTGAGGACAGAGTGGCCGAGGGAGCACGGAGGTGCTCGCAGGTGCCCACCGTCCAGTCAGCTTCTAGCCCTCTCCCAGGGGCACTCCCACCTGCCCAGTGCTGGCTCCACCAGGAGGGGAGTCTCCTCACCACCCTTGTTTTCGATCCCACCTAAGAAATGGGACGACACTGGTTATGTCAACCCCATCATAGAAAACTAAAGACCCTATATTCCCACTATGGAAAATTTAAGATACACAAAACACCGCACCAGGTGTGGTTTCAATGCTCACCTTTTGATCCCAATTATGCAAATCAGAATTGGCCTTCAGTCTCGGACGGTAGCACGCCTCGGTCGGGGGTGAGCGCACCACAGCCTTCAGGGGAAAGGGGGCCGCAGCTCTGGAGCCAAGAGGAGCTGGATGGTGGCAGCCGTGTGGGGACGGTGGGAGCCCTTGCCCTCCAGACTCCCTTCCTGTCATTTTGCAAATGCCAACCCTAAGCCCAGTGGGGACAGGGACAGGGATGGCCCCACACTGCCCCCTGAAAGACCGTGCAGTGGCTGGGGAGCCCCCAGGAGTGAGGCTGCGCTGCACCTGAGGAGCCTCCTGCCACGAGACCTGCGAGGAGCAAGCCGGCAGCGCTTCACACAGACCAGAACCGGGAGGCTGTGCCCTGGCCACAGCTACGTCCGAGTTTCTGGGCCTCCAAGGAAGATCCGGGCATGAGGATGCACAGGCAGCAGGGCCTCTTCTGGTTTCACAAGGGGAAAGGCCCAGGAAGCACAGCATATTCCAGGGTTTCCAGCGCAGAAACCTACTTCCCGAGGGCCCCTCGTGTCCATGGTTCCACCCTCCGGTGCAGGGCGGCCTTGCCCTAGGCCCAGCCCTGACCCCAGCAGGACTGTGGTGTGCCCAGGCCGCACAGAAGACAACCTTCTCGGTGGTCTCGTTTCAGGTCCATTTTATTTTACACAACACACAGGCTGCTGAGGGAATCCACCTGCACCGCACTTGGTTTAACTTGCAGCCCAGCAGGGCATGAGAGACTAACTCACGGGAGCACGTTTACACCCCTTCAGCACCTTCTCCTCCTGTTCGTCAGGGCACAGGATGCCGAGAGCGTCACCCAACATGGCTGGGTCCTGAGCAGACGCTGGCACAGCACTCTCCAGGCGCCCCGGGCAGGGGCTCTTCAGATGCGCAAGGAGGAAAGACAGACACACATTCAATCACAGGGGAGGCCTGTGTAGGAGTTTAGAGAAACAGACCACAGGAACGGCACTCACTACCAAGCTGCCCAAATTACTCCAGGCACCACAGCGTTTAAGAATTTAAGCTTGCCTCACAACATCTACAGAACAAAGCTGAATTCTACTAGAAATCCAATCAACATGAAAAGCCTCTCACCAACACCTGGCAGCTGTCACCCGTGAGCCCGGGCCGCTCACCTCAGTCCTCCGCGCTGCTCTCCTCTGCACTGTCCTCGTCCTCACAGCCACCCTCGGCGCCCTCAACCTCCTCCTCACTGTCCTCTTCCGAGTCCGTCTCCTCCAGCCACTCTTGAGTTTCTTCAAAAGCAGAATGAACACATAGAAGTCAGCACGGCCTGGGCAGACCAGGGGAGCTGCGGGACGGTGGTGGCCACTTCCTGGGGAGATGCCATGTTCTTAAGAAGTCGGCTGGGTGCAGTGGCTCATGCCTGCAATCCCAGCACTTTGGGAGGCTGAGGTGGGCAGATCATGAGGTCCGGCGTTCAAGACCAGCCTGACCAACAATGGTCAAATCCCATCTCTACTAAAAAAA